GCCCCCTCCTCTGCCAGGATGCAGGAGCCCCCCTCCCTGGGGGGCACTGAACCTCCCCCGCCCCCCCTGGTGCAGGAGGCCCCGGAGACTGCCCGGCCCCTTTCAGCGAGAGCTGCCGGGCGAGGCCACCCGCCCGCCCTCAGACAACCCCCAGAGGAGGCGTTTGAGGTGAGAGTCCAGGCGGGCAGGTCTGTTTGCGCTGGGGGTGGGGATGTTCCTTCACCAAGAGGGCTTCTGCCCCCCTGTTGGATGCTGAGCCCTTCGGCTTCCTTTCCTGCTGACCTTGGCTGCAAACGGCCCCCAGCCCCTGGGCCCATCAGTGCCGATGCTGCTCTGGGGCCCACCTTCGAGGCTTCCCTTCTGGACTGAAGCATCTTGGAAGAGCAGCGCCCGAATGGCAAAGGGTCTGCAGCTGTTCCGTGCGGGATGGGTGTTCCGCTGCAGCACTTTGGGTAGCAGAGGGGCACTTGGGGTCTGCTTCTGCCCTGGGAAGACTGGGGAAGGACTGCAGGCCAGGACGGGAGGCTGGAAGCAGGCCTGGCCTTACTACAGACGGGGTAAATGGACGGTGGTCGCGTGGGGTCCTCCCAGGAGAACCAGAGCCCGCTCAGATGCCTGTGTGACCAAAGGCCTTCTGCTTCCCCTCAGCCTGCTCCGCGCTTGGGCACGGCTGAAAAGTCCAAAGTGAGTGTTGTGGTCTCCGTTGCCCCACGAACCTCCTCATCCCCCAGCTCCTCAAGGGACTTTTCCAGGAGCAAGAAGGTAAGGGGCCGCTGCAGCCCCCCCAGCCTGGCTGTGCCCGCCAGGATTTAGGTTGGCCTTGTGGGTGTTGGGGCTCCATGGTGCATTTTAAGCCCGGGAGTTGGAAGAGGAAGCGCAAGGGGTCGGGAACAGGGCGAGATGGAGGCTCTGGAGCAGTATGGCTGAGAGAAGACCTGTCCTCCCACAACGGAGGGGGCTTTCAGTTACGCGTTGCTCCCCGGGGCCCAACAGAGTTGCTGCCTGCGTGAAGTCATTCACGAATACAGGAGGTTTGACCCAGCAAAACCTTCCTTTCTCATGTCCCAGGCGAGTGGGGCCGGTCTGTGACAGGCCTGTGAAGGAAGCCTTTAGCGGTCAGTGCTCTGTGGCACCTTTCCCCCGGCGGATCTGGCCACCGCCTCTATGCTGCCCTGAGGGCCAGAAAACTTTAAAAATAAACTCCGGAGCTCTGTGTTCCTGGCGGGGGGATTCTGGGATGGCCTTTGCAGGCAAGAGGGGGAATGCAGGCAGGAGAGAGCACACGTGCCCTCTTGTGGTGTCTTGCGCCAGAGCATTGTCTTCAGGGAACCAGTTTCACCGCACCCGAGCCAGGAGCCCCAGAAGTCCCCGGCCTCCACCTCCATTTTGAAGAGCTCCCAGTCATCCGTCATCATCAAAGGCTTCTTTCCAGAGAGGCCGACCAGCCAACAGGGGCTGAGGTCACGTGCGGTGAGCAAACCCTTCAGGGCAGTCGCTGCTCCCTTCCCTGACCCTGGGGAATGGGCTGGCCAGGGGGTACCCTATGCAGGAAGCAGGGAAGGCTCCGTTGCCCTCCAACCTGTATCCCGAGCAGGGCTCGCGGCAGGTGGCTTGCCTGTTCTCCATCAGTTTCTTCGGGGGCTCCTTACTTCCCCCCATCATCATCTCCCCCCCGGTGGGGCTGTACCAGGAAGAGCTCTGGATGGCCTGGAGCCCCGGAGAGCCTCCCCGCTCTCACTTACCTTGCCAAGTGCTTCCTGTTGCGCTCAGGGCCACGCTGATGGCACCGTGCCCCTCTTCCTGTTTGTCGGATGTGGGTCCTTGTTCTGCAGCAGACGAAGCCGGGCGCTGAGTTGCTTACCGGTAAAACAGAACGGCTGGAAGGGCCTTCTCGGCCTCCTTGCCAAAGCGGATCTGGCCTTGTTGCCCAGCGTTCGCAGCAGCTGCGGGCTTCCTGGGTCCCTGGGATTCTCCTCTGCTTTATGGGAACAGATGGGGGTGTCTTCAGCCCCCCAGCCATGACCCCATCTCTTGAGGATGATGCTTTCTTTGGGGTGGGCATTCTCCTGCTTTTGCAGCCCCCCACCAGGTCCTTGAATGAGCAGCAAGCTGGCCTGCATAAACCCTCGAGAACATTGTCCTGCTCATGTGGGGAGAGGGAAGGCAGTTGTTCCCACCTTGGAAACGGCCAGGAGGTGGGGGCCAAGCTGGATGCCACATCAGACGCCGCTCGTTCCGGGGGTGGGCTGGCTTGGGGAGGTGGAGGGGGGGAGGGCTTCCCAAATCTCCTCCTTTGTCTCCAGGAGCTCCAGAGTCAGAGCTTGCTGCTGCCCAGAATGTCCTCTGGCTTCATCCCCAATTCTGTGGTGGTCAAGCAGTTTCACACCCTGGACCTGCTGGAGATGGAGGCAGCGGAGAAGCTCGTGAGGGTGATAGGACTCCGGGAGGTAAGTGGAGGCAGGCGGGGGAGGGGGACCCTCCCCCAGGAGGGACAGGTGAGCCGGTCGCCTGTTGGCAGACTGTGCAGCCCAAGCCGAGGGGAGGCTGGGCTCCCAATGCGGCAGATGCCCTTGGATGCCCATGGCCCTTCCCCAGGGAGCACTCTCGACTGGTGCCCAGCTGCCCCTTTTCAGGTATTGGCTGGTTTGGGCAGCGAATCCCCCACCTGCGAGGACAAAATGGGGAAAGGTCATGAGCAGTGCTGGAGTACAGAAGGCTGTGTGCGCACAGGGGGTGATTTTAGGGGTGCGCATGGTGCCAGATGGCCTGAGCGCTAGACCTGAACCTCAGAAGAGCTGCAGCAGAGCCGGCCCCTGGGCAGCATTGGAGACTGTCTTGGGGCTGGCCCTGGCGCTACTGACCCCCAAGGGTTGCTCCTGCTGCGGCATTTGCACTGCTGATGCTGCCCGCCTGGCAATTCATCCCCTCTCTTAGCCCTGTCTGGGCGGATGGCCCTGGAGCAGGAAAGGAGGCCCTGGGGTCCAGGGTAGGACGGCTGTCTGGCTGGGGGGCGGCTCGCTTCTGTGCACCTTGTCCTTCTCCAGGGCGTCCGAGGCGCCTCCATAGGCTTGAGCGGGCAGCGGGTTGAGCATCGCAAGAGGGGGCATCATTCAAAGTGCGTGGGGCGTACGGAGATGGCCTGGACGGAGATACGCAAGATCCGTTGCCTGGGCAAGGGGCTGAAACGTTTCTTAAGCCTGGGGAAATGAGATGATACTTGGAAGCGCTCAGGCAGACGCCTCCGTTTCCCTGGTGCATAAGAGGCGGAGGAGGCACGGCGCAGTCTGACTTGCAAGGCCCTGTTACTTAGCCGGCTTCAGTCAAAGCAATTTTAGCCTTCCTGCGATTTCCGGTCTGGCGTGCCAGGTGCGGCCGGCAGCGGGTGGCCTGGAAGAGAGGGCGGCTTTGCCGATTCCTTTTCTGCCTGCGGGATCAGAGCAGTGGCTCAGTCCTGGGGCCAGGAGGGGGTGCTCTGGCGGTGGGCTCTGAGGCTGGGCAGGGGCCTTCCCCTTCCTCTGTTTGCCAGGAGTCAGAGGGCTCCTCGAGGGCCAGTTTAATGTGGACGTTTGCTGGGGATGAACTGCTTGAGGAAGAACCGTTGCCGGTGGTGGCCGTGGAGAGCACCTCCAAGTCCGGTGGTGGCCGTGGAGAGCACCTCCAAGTCCAGGATGCCCGTGGAGAGCACCTCCAAGTCCAGGATGCCCGTGGAGAGCACCTCCAAGTCCAGGATGCCCGTGGAGAGCACCTCCAAGTCCAGGATCGCGCTAATGAGCAAGGAGGAAGTCCCCTCCACAAAGCAGGTGGCTCTCTCTTCCCCTGGCTGGCATCCCAAGGCAGCTGCCCGGTGCCAGAGGCTCCCTCAGCCTATGGGCTCCAGCAGGGCCAGCTGCAGAGCTGGGCTGAGTCACCAGAGTACCCGCCCCCCCCGCCGTGAGTGTTTGGCCTGGGCCTTAGATCCTCTTTGCCCTCCCTTAATTTCAGAGTACGTCTGGGGGGGTTTTCCTGACTCAGCTGGACGAGTCCCAGTATCCAGAACCAGCGGGGGAGGTGCCAGAAGTTGTTTTGCCCTTTGTGGACCAGGAGTGGTTCAAGAAGCTTTTCCCGGAGGTGAGAGGGGCCTCCTGCAGACCCAAGGACACCGAGGGAGCCTTTCCCTTCCAGTTCCCCTGCCTTTCTGGGGAGTGGGCTAGCCTTGGGGCTGTCTTGGGTTAGTGACCTCCATCGACAGAAAAATTGTACCGGTTGGGGGTCAGAGCTTGAGGCAACAGAGTCTCATTCCAGATACCGAAAGCAAGTCACTGGTGTCAACCAAATGCCCCAAGGCAGGATTCAACACGTGCACAAACAGTGGCGATGTTGGCTTGCTACACTGAACTAGAAACCAGGCAGCCCAAGTGGAGCCCGGTGTGTGGTGTGGACTCAGATCAAGTGAACTGGAGGGTTGGAAGAGACCTGAGAGGTCCAATGGCTAGATTAGGGTTCAGGGTGTGGGTTAGCCGCTGGCGGGAAGCCCGGTGGATTCTTCCCCTCGTAAATGCACGGGTGTGCCTCTGCCTGTGTTTCGTTAACATTTCGGCGTGGGGCCAGGTCACCTGAGGGGCCCCTCTTCTCAGTTATGACGACCCGTCCCGCCAGGTCCAGCAGGAGAGGCATGCTCTGGGTCCCCTCTCCAAAGGAGCTCCATCTGCTGGGACCCAGGCGGCGGGCCTGTTCTGCCACGGCCCCGCCCTCTGGAACGTCCCCCCGCCCCGAGTTGAGGCTAGCCCCATCCCTACTAGCCTTCCAGAAGGCCCTGAAAACAAGTTGTTTCATCAGCCTTGGGGATTTCATGGGGGGCCTGCGAGGTGGCTGGATGGGGTCAAGTGACTGTTGTTCTCCCTCAGTCTTGGGTTGTTTATACAGTGGTACCTCGGGTCACAAACTTAATTCGTTCTGCGACTCTGGTCGCCAGCCAGTTTTGGTCGCCAACCGAATCAAATTTTCCCATAAGGTTCAATGTAAATACGGTTAATCCGTTCTGAACCATGTGTATTTTTTTTTTAAACCACAAAAATATGAAACAAAATACAGCACGAAGAGAGAGAACGCTAACCTCGCTCGAGGCGACTTCTGGCGTGGAGGACAGGAAGGCGGGTGGGGAGGCGGTTATTGCTT